TGAAACACGCTATCTTTATATAAGTCTATATAACTGGTACTATATGCCTAGTTTGGTTCACAAAGTTTTAGTGCATGGCTGCGAAATAATCGATTTTTTTGAATTTCCTATTGGGCAACTTTCGGAAGATGCTTTAGAGGCTAGACATAAGGAATTCAGAAAAATCCGATTACATAATAGCCGAAAAACTTCGAGAACAGATGCCAATTACGACATAATAAGAAACCTTATAATGTCTTCTGACCCTGAACTAGCATCCCTTAGGCAAATAAAATCATTAGAAAAGAGGTCGGATTATTCAGATATTAAAAAATATTTCTTAATTGAGGAGTCTCTAAATGATTTAGGTTTGTCTGTTGATTTCAGTTTATTTAGCCAAAATAGTGAAGATGAAGATATTAGCGCTATAGCGACACTGAATCAGAGTAAAGGTTTTTTTTAAGAATTAAAATTCTTCTTTTTCTCTATATAAAACTTATTGGGATTGGCAATATATTATAGTAAAGTTTTTCTTATTTTTTTATTATTCAAATTATTATTTAAAATAATGGGTACTTTTTTAGTTTTGTAACAATAAACATTGATGACTACAATTAGTTCGTAAAAAATATTTAGGTATATTTTGTTGTTAGTAACTAAACTGTTTATTACTATTTATAATTGCAATTTAATTAACTCTCTGGAGAAAAATGTTCTTTTGTTATTTTTTCTTTTTATTACAACTTTAAAATGCAACTATGTATGTAAATATAAAGTTATGGTACTTTGTTTTTATTTTTAAAACTGAATACAACTTTATTTTTCAAAATTATACCGTGTAAATACTTTTGTCCCATGCCCCCTATCTCTAGCAACACTGTGCGCTACCTCAACCCGTCACAACTGCAGTCAGTTATTAAGACACTTGTCACGCCATCCGAAACATCAACACATGGAAACCATCTCTTACAACCTCCAAAACGCCACGCAGATTAATGAGATCAATGGAGCCGAACATAACACAGGTTCAATCGCAGTCACGGTTAATGACGCGGAAAGCGAAGATATAAGCAACGATCAGCGGCAACGGAGCTCACTCCACGTCTAAATCGCAGCAGAGCAGCGACAGCACCCCAGCAGATAAGACCTGAAGATGGTACATGAGATTGCACCGAAACGTCTTCAGACATACGGTTGTTTTAAGAACCAAAAACCAACAACACGGAGCAGATCCCCAAAAACCATTAATACATATAACGCCCGTGGAAACCTAATATATATATATATATATATATATATATATATATATATATATATATATATATATATATATATATATACATATAACGCCCGTGGAAACCTAATATATATATATATTCGTCGTTTAAACCAATATCTTCTTCCTGAAAAGTTCAGCTTGGCAAATCAGCTAAGAAGAAACGATTATTTAGCGAAGATATAAGAAGATTTTCTTGGAATAAAGTGGGTCACTAGACGAAATTTAACTTACCTTCCCGAGGACAAAAAGATTTGCATTTTGATCTTCAGGAAGTCCTTTCAGAAGGAACTTGGAACTGGGCAATGGCAACGTCCCTACTAGGAATGTTAAATTTTGCCTCAATGGTTATACCATTAGGGAGATTTTATTCGCGCCAAATGCAGCGTCTAGGTCAAATACTATCGGAGGACAACCCGAAAAGAGTTACCCTATCTTGCCTTGCGCTGGCGGATTGTTCTTAGTGGCAGAGAAACATTCACCAATCAAAGCCAATATTCAAGAAACAAGCAACTATCTGCCTGACAACAGATTCCTCGGAAATAGGATGGGGCTTTTATCTGGATAATCACATATGCTCAGAAACATGGTTAGCGAGTCAGATGGCCTGGCACGTAAATCTCAAGGAACTGTATATTGTGTGGATAGCCATTCCAAAATTCAAAACCAGGTTGCAGGGCAAGTCCATAATGTTACAATCAGACAACAAAACAGTAATTGCCTATCACTGCAAATGAAAAAATATTGGCTGTATTCAAGTTCTATGGACCTGAATCTGGTTCTATTCAAGATTTGACCTTTTATATTTGCAGCTCATGTGTCCGAATACTTTTCGGCTCTTATACTTTGTTGACGTTTTTACCTTAATAGTCATTGAATATTTTGTGATGAATAGAAATCCGATATACAAAATTCAAGGAGCTGAATACTTCTCTACGGGTTAAGTTTCTCAATACCTCTCTGAAGTATTCGCAGTCAAAGTTTATGTATGTTTTGATTTCTACACCTGAGCCAAGCATTCAAATCTCGTGCTGATAAATATTATTCATTCTATCTTACATAGACGTTTTTACCTTTATAGTCTTTGAATATTTTGTGATGAATAGGAATTTGATATAGGAAATTTAAGGTGCTGAATACTTCTCAACAGGTCAAGTTCTCAATACCTCTCTGAAGTATTCAAAGTCAAAGTTTATGTATGTTCTGATATATACACTTGAGTCGAACGTTCAAATTTTGTGCTGATGAATGTTATTCATTCTATTTCCGTGGAGGTGTTTGGGCCATGTAAAAATTAATATTATATGCTCTATACTTGAGTCGAGGATTTAATTTCAAGGATTAAGTGGAAGAGAACGTGTCGTAATCGGGAGTAAAAATAGAAACCTCGACACGAGACGGAAGTGACGTCATATACGGAGGGAAAAAATCAAATATAATGCGAAACTGCCACATTTGCAGTGTTGCCAGATTTTGTCAAAATTACCAGAATAAAAAATATTTTTTTTTTGCAAATCATAGGTATACTCAATACAATATCAAGCAACACTTTGACAGGTGACAGATGATAAGTGACAATTGACAGGTTGGTGACAGATGACAGATTTTTTAAATTTAAAACTCACGTAAAAAGCAAAGTAATAGGCAAATAACACTTATTTAAAATAATAATTTAATGTTTATTTTGTTTTTCACCTAATTTTCTACAAGCGTGCCGAATGTTGCACTTTTCCGGTCGCTTACTTTCCGCACGCACGAAAGTGCGAAAATTAAATGCGTGCGGATATTACTTTGCGCACGTGAGTAGAACAAATAATTATGTACCTACTATGCTCCACACAGCAAAGAGCCACCACGTGTCTTTGATATAAATAATTAAGGTTAATTTTCTGTCAGTGCCAAGCTAATTTTAACCTATTTTCTGAAAATAATGCAATAGGTAAATGTATTTTTTGTGTTCTAAATTAAGACCTTTATACAGAAAAAATACATATTTTCAGAAAATATGACAAAATTAGCTTGATTCTGAAAACTAACCTTAATTATTTCTATCAAAGTCACGCGGTGGAACTTGTGTGGAGCATAGTAAGTGTTAAAAGTAATTTTATTTTGTGAAAAGGGAAATTGGATAACGAGCGGGGCAAGTGATCCAACATTCAAACAAAATAAAAACATTTGTAACATTTACATCAAACAATATTTATCTACAAACATTAAACAGAAACTTAAACAATAATTAATAAATTTAAAATTAAAGCCATACAAATCTAAGATCAAGTAACTCTGTTCTTAGTTACGTGGCAACCAATGTGTACCTATTGTTGTTAGTTACGAAAAGACGCTGTCGATAACTTATACAAAAATTTACGATTTTCGATGGATAATCTGGAAGAAAACTATCCAAATGTGTAAATAAATGAAGCAGTTAGTAAGCTACCGAGTTGTTTCCAAAAAGTCCAAGGAACAGTATGCGAAGTGGTACTGGAGTAGTAACTCGAATGTTTAGATTAAGATACTGGAGTGTTGCGCACGCAACGGGACGCGAGGCAAAAGGAAGCCCTCTCGCTTATGTTCTGTGCTCTCTCGAATGTCGACTGTTGCACGAGTAACATGTAGCTCTGTGATATTGTAAAGAATAAAGTAATTATAATTGAACCAAGTATTGATTATCATACCCGAACACAACAGATACACAACCACTAGTTTTGAATACTTCTGACAAGGATTCAGCTCTCCGAAAGCTGAATGCTTCCTAGAGGCATTCACGTGCTTAATACCGTCAACAAACATTCCTTTATCATAACATTGAATAAAGTCTATACTTCCCACAAGAGTTCAAATCTTCAATTCACTGCACAGTGCTTTGAATACGGCCAATATTTTTTCATTTGCAGTGATGTACCTACGCAAACAAGGAGGCACACGTTTCCAGACTCTTCTTCGATTAGTGAAGAAAATACTGCTTATGGCGCATGTATTTCAAATTCAATTAAAACCATTTTACATACCGGATCGTTACAACTACCTAGCAGATAGTCTATCAAGAGGCTTAGCCCTAACATAATGACATCTGAAAAGCGAGTTGACAGCAATGGTTTTTAAGAAATGGGGAACACCGGAGATAGACTTATTTACGACCAGTCGGTCAAAAGTAGTTCCAAAGTATGTAACAATAGAAACCAAGCATATTACATAGATGCGTTCAGCCAGAAATGGGAGGTGAATTTAGCTTGGCTCTTTCCTCCACACCCTCTTATTCCAAAAGTACTACAACATCTGAATTTGGCGAAAGGAATGTTTTTGATAGTAACTTCCAAGTGATACCGCCGTGGAGGATTATGTAGTAGACCTGAAAACCCCAAAGAACGTAAAGGACCTTTGTTTGGAGGTCTGGAAAATACAGTCTGGAGCCACTTAATAAAGGGTTTAACTGAAGAGGAAATAAGCTTGCTTTATTCTGCATAGCGTAACTTAACTTGGAAAACTTATACAGTGTGCGGCAAAAACGTTGCCCCATTTTCAAAGGGTCATTGTTCGGCTCGTGGGGGGATAGAGCAATGCCCGTGGTTGCTTTAGGTAGGTACGTCCATGCCATTTTCAGTCGTCATAATGAATCTGTCAGAAATATTTGGGATGAGTCGAGCAATTACCCTTAAAAAGCCAATAACCCCACATCTCAAAACCTTGCTTCATATTTAAGTTTTTTGGAGCATATAAAAAGACAAGCTTATAGGTCAATACTTACACAAAAGTCCAAAAGTCCAGAGAATATGGAAAAGTTGGGTTCTACCCCCTTGGTCAAATCTATGTTAAAAGCGATAAGCGTTAAAAAAGCTTCATCCGCTAGCGTAAAAACGGACATTTTGAATATTGAAACCTTAATAGATTGGTTAAGACAAACAAGAAGAGAGCATTTACCAAGTGTCCCGTCATACTTTATTCCTATTATTATTTTCATCGGGACGAAGAGATAATGATTTAACATTGCTGTCGATCGATTACAATTATTGCAGTTTGGAGGAGGAAGTAATAACCTTTTGGCCGAAATTTGTTTTTAAAACAGATAGTAGGCATCATCGACAATTGGTTGGAAACTTACGAAATCTGATCATAGAGAGGTTGATTTAATAAAATGGATAAAAGTCTTGATTAAATTATCAACAAGTAGAAGGAAAGCTTGTCCTGGCTTAAATAGCATGTTTATAACCACTAGAGGTAAAGTAAAAAGCTGCATAGAGGACAGTTATTGCTGGCTGGATAAAGACAATATTTTTAAAATTAGGAATTTATTCAAGTCCAGGCTCGATTAGATCTGCGGTAGCCTCCTATAATTTTGAAAAAGATGTTGAGTTGGATGCAATTTTAAAGAGGGGCAACTGGAAAGGTTCGGAAAACTTTTCTAAACATTACTGCAAATTTATTGATAAACCACCAAATTTATCAATGAATAATTCATTTCAACCAATGAGGTTAAAGTACCTGTTAGATAAGAAAAATAGGTTAATTATCGTTCACTAAGGTTAAATCCTTATGTTTTAGTAATGTTGACTAAATGTAAAGTATTTTTACTTCGTTTTTGCTTTGTATTGAAAGCTATTATTTTTAAGGCCGTTATTTGTGTTAATAGGTTGGTTGTAAGTTTGTTAACTTTAAATAAAAGTTACAAAAGTTATAAAAGTACCAATACAGTTTATTTCATAATCAGCTTATTTATAAATTTCTTAAAGTTTTGAGTTCGTCTAATATATATTGTTTAGATATATTTTTAGATCACAGTACGCTGTCAGGTGCCGGCAGAATCTAAACATCTCTCCGAAAGGTCAGACCTTAAATATAACCCGTTTTCTACCCTGAAGGGAGGAAAACGAGAATTTCAGGTCTTGCCAAGGCTTGACCTGAGTAAGACCTTGGCGTCATTCGGAGTACGTATTGAAGCATTAAGGCATTCGGCTAGCCGGCACTGACGGTTGAGCGGGGAGTAGGCGCGATACTCCCCACTCCTGTGATTAAGGGCCTATGCACATGAAAGATTTAAGCAGGTAATCTCCGAAAGGTCAAGCCTCGGCAAGACCTGAAATACTAGTTTTCCTCCTTTCTTCGGGGTAGAAAACGGGTTATATTAACACAACTAGTGCGGAAAGTGCTACTTTTAGTAGAGGACTTCGGTAAAAGAAGTAAGTGTCCACGTTATACAGAGGATCAGTTGCGAAAAACTCCAATTTTGTGTATTATAATGGATGATAAAAAATATTTCGCATTCTTTCATTCAGAAATGAAAGGCAATGATAGTTTTTATACCGATAATGTAGAAAATTGTCCCGATAATGTTAATTACAAACCTAAAAAAATTGAAGACAAATTACTAGTTTAGTGTACTATATCGAAGAGCGGAGTTTAAAGATCTTATATTGAACATGTGAGGGGTGAAGCAGTTAATGCTAACGTTTATACCGAGATATGTCTACCATTACCAATTTATTAATACGATTTATCCACTTGATGAAATACTGTTTTGACCAGACTTGAAAATTGTCATTAGGCAAGAACAACCAGAACATGGTTAGAAAACAAAAAAAAACCTTTTGTAAAAGAGATGACAATCTGCCAAATGTACCACAGGCTCGACCCATCGAAGATTTTTGGGAACTATTGAACAAAAAAGTATATGATAATAGGTGAAAAGCTCCAACTGAAATACAACTAAGGCGTAAAATATACCAAAAGATAAGAGAAATGCATACAAGTATTTTCCAAAACTTGATGGGACGAATTGGGCAAAAACTGTATACCATGACCCTTTGTCATTATTTTAGTTGTAGATTTAACTTAGATGTAAGGTAAAATTTTGGTTAAGTGGTCATTAAAATAAATTACGTTATATGTACTTGTTTTAAGGATTTTAATTTTTTTCCAAAACTTATGACATACTTAAGTATATGAAAGTACAAGTTGCAGAAGGTCACATATTACCACAAGAAATTTGGCCACGAGCGACGAAGGTGCAAGTAAACAAATGAATGGGTGCAGGAATAGCCTTCTGCAAGGTGTGTTTTATACTATTTTGTTGTTTAAGTGGGGATTTTTCTCCCAAATTATGTCAGTTGGTAACACTTATTCCAAACAACATTGTCTTCTTTAGCATGTAATCGCAAAGGAACAACCGAAGTAAACAAATATACGCGGCCGAACTACTCTCGTCCCCGAATTTTTGCTTATACTCCTGCACCGAAGAACCATTGCATACCCAAAACAGACACATGTTATTTCTCACAATAAATTGCAATAACTAAGGATTACTCGTTTTAACCTGAAATTGTAACAATGCATTGCAATGCATTGTAGTGTGGTCAAGTAAAGACTGCAATTTCACTTCTGCGCTGTTCTCGGAAATAGTGGTTGTTGATGAAGAAGGATACCAACGATCTTAAGATACTACTATTTTTCGATATTAAGGAAAAACCGAGGTTTGACAATTCTAATTGGTCATTGCCTTGGAGCCTTGGAAGTTATCTCCTTTAAAATACGTAAGGCTTAAGGGCTCCAACACGGACTGATTTTCGTGGCAAACACCTTACGATGATTGCAAATCTCCAATTGCTTGCTCCGATTACTCCTGTCCTCAAAAATTGCCAGAAGGTCGACCGCGAAATTGTGTAAAACTTGCAGAATGCTCAGTGTCCGTGGATTTCCTATAAGGCTCTATAATATTAATTTAATAATATTATTTGATATGCACAAACTTAAAAAATCGTAACAAAACGGTTTTTTTTAAATTCAATTGAAACTAATGTGCTTTAATAATAAAACAGTTCCTTCTTATCATTACTTAATTCGTTTTATAATAAAACAATTCATTTTAACTTAATTTTAAAACTAACTTTTTTTTTTAATTTGTAGTATATGTATTATTTATTACAATTTTTTATTATAATACTTTTACTTCATATTTTTTCTCTATTACTATTACTATATTTACATGTACATAATATATTATATTTATTACAATATTCATTTATAAAGTCTTAAATTGAATTTACCTCGATAGTTTTGGCCCTTACGTTATCGAAGTAAAAACCGATATTTAGACATACGTATCGCTAAATTAAAGCAAAAAAGTTACAATTCGCTTCTGAAGATGACAACATCGTTGGCGAAAAGTACTTTAAGCACTTTGTGTTTTGTTTTGGTGTTTTGTTAGGTGGGGAATATTTCTAATATTTGTTTAACATATCACCAAAGTTGTCCTTTTCCAAGTACTATGTCGTTACATAATGTAAGTTACATTGGTGACGTAGGGATCAAGTTATAAAAATTAAACGATATGCTAATACCGAACGATTGTTTCAAACGTCCTTAGTAGTCTCCTACAAAAATGTGTTATTAAATCAAATTTTAAGAACTCTCTCCAAAAATAAGCTGAATTAAAAAAATTTTAGGGGTCGCTCACGAATGAAAATTTCAAATATAGCCAAAATTCTATTTTTTTAGTTTAATTTTTCTTCTCCCTACGGTAAAGTTTGTACACCGAAAATAAATAGGTTTATCAAAGTTTCAGCTTAAAATATGATTTTTTTAAGGTTGGTCATAAATAAAAAAAAATAAGTTAATATTACAATTCATTCGGTTCATCCCCTCAGATTCTTATAAATTACAGCTAAATAAATAACATTCTCACAATCATACTATTTACAAATAAATAAATAATTACATTACCTTACCTATGATTACATTTACATTACACTATATTTATATTACACTAAATTAAGATATTAATCACCAAAGACCGGATTTTAGGCCGTTAAAAATTGGAAATTAGGACACATAAATAGGCAATAAAAACCTACATTTTAGGCCGTTTTAGGCCCAAAGTGCCAAAAATAGGACTCAATATTGGCGAAACTAGCCATCTGACCCGGGGGGGCCTAGGGTGGGCCTGTTATTTTGACTAGGAATCTTTAAAAAAGTAAAACAAATGTTGTCTCCAAAAGGCACAAATAACAATTTTTTTGAACAAACAGTTTCAGTGAGAAAGGAAGTAAGTACTACAATGTGATCTTGAGGACGTGTACAAATATAATTGATGACCGTTTGTACCGCGCATGACCGTTTGTTGTTATGAAAAGGTACAATTGCTACATACACCTTAAGTGAATGTGCACATGTTAGACGGGGCTTAAATCGTCACTTGTTGAGTATTTTTAAATCTTTAATTATCTGCTGCTGAAATTCTTGTTTTTGCCATGCTGTTGGATGTTATTTTGCTCTATTTTTTTAACTTGTTGTTTTATTGAGGTTCGAATTACTTTTCAGTGTTCAAATTATTGTTATTGCGTTGTGTTAACCTGTTCTGTTTGTTTATTATTGTTTTGTTTGTGTTTTAGTTTGTGTCGTGCCATTTGCATTTATTAAAATGCGGTGTGGCATATTTGTATGAAATTTGGACAACCAGTCCAAGAAAAACCCTTTAAATAAAAACAAATTTCATCGATTCCCGAAAAACTTTGATTTTTGCAAACAGTGGTTATAACATTTATAAATGCCATAAAAAGAATAGACAATATTAACCTTAAGACCGCTTCTATTTCCTCTAAACATTTTCTGGACAGTGACTATAAGTTTAATTTAAAACACCAACTCTTAAACTACACTCCTAAATGTTATAAAGGTTAGAAAGAATCTATTATCCATATTATAACACTTTCTTTAATATTAAGTTTAATAAAAACGCAGTATGTTCTCTATTTTCTTTGATAATATTACTATTATTCTTGTATTCGCACGGCAACTACTCATCAAGTGACGTCATGCGCGGCACGAACCAAAAGTCGTCCACGGGAGCATCCAGCCCGTGTTTTTATTTAA